CCTCTCCCTGTCTGTTTTGCTCCATGTTGTCCGTTTCTGTGGGGTTAGATTTGTGTTTTTAATCATCTGAGGTCACGTCTATTTCCTCCGGACTTGCCTGCTTGGTGGCGATTCTCCACCGGTTAATATGATGCGTCCCTTTTTTCTTTTGTTGCGAATCTGAGCCTTCTTCCTCCAGCTTCTGCCTTTTGAACTTTGTTCTTCGGTTCTGAAACCATACTTTTACCTGAGGGTGAGGGGCAGATGGGGCGAGTTAGTTCTTTCACAGGATCCTACTAGAAGCCAACTGCCTGATTCCTTCACGCAGCCCAGACTCCAGTCCCAGACTCAGCAAAGACCCAGCCCCTCAGATGCCGGTCCTAAGGTCCAGCCTCCCCAAGGCTTGCTCTCAGGGAGCCGGCCCCTAGTGCGCGATGGAGAAGAAGCCCAGCTCCCTGCCCTTCAGAGCTTTCCTGAGGAACCTTTCCCCAAGGCCCGGGACGCACTGAGCCCCTTCTCTCCTGGCCCTGCACAGGGCACCTAGATCCCGCTGAGAGCCAAGCCTTACAAAGCATGGGAAGCCCCTACAAAAATAATAAATGATTAAAAATAAAAAGAGACGTGTCCCTAACTCCCTCCAGCAAGCGAGTTCAAGAGAGACCTTGGCCCGAGGCTGCTACAGCTTCCCTGAGGGCCCAATGTGCTTTCTATTTTCTGCTGATCTGGGCGGCGTTTCCTAAATATAGCGTCGTCTCCTCTTAGCGCGGCCCTGGGTAGGCCATCAGGGTTTGCCTGCTCTGCGTCCTCTGTGCAGGGGACTCTCACAGGTGAGCAGGAAGAGAATGCGGCTGGAGGAGGCAGGAGAGACAGCGGAATGTGCAGGCCTACAGACCAACCCTCCTGTACCTTTCTTTATAGCTAGGAAAATGAGTTCAAAACTGAAAGCTTCTGAAAGACCGTGGGTTACACAGAGAGAACCTAACAGGAGGGGAGGTGACAGCAAGTCCCCCTTCCCTCCTCCTAAGAAGCCCCCGAACAGGCTGCTGGTCACACTACCTCAGACCCCAGTCCCATCGCTTCACACCAGGGTGGGGCTGGAGGCCTGGCCTCACCAGAGTGGCTGCAAGAGGTCTCAGGAGCAATAAGGTGGGAGTCGGCTGCCATTCCATGGCCCCTGGGAAAGCTGAGTGGTGGGTCCTCATTCAGCCGCCAGACAGTAATACAGTCCAAGCTTCCCAGCAGTGGGGTACAGGTAGGGGAGGTGGCTCTGATATCCACCCCCCGACAACTCCTGTCCTATCTGGATAACAGTACCCCAGCCCGGTGTCAGTCCCTGGACCCCTGGAGTTCACTCCATTCCCTCCTTTGAGGCCTTTGGCCGTCCCGCCTTGCTCTCCCGAAATGCCCCAGTCCCCCAAAGTGCTCCACCAAAAAGCTAAGCGGGAACAAGGCTGAATTTAATTTGCTTTGAATTTGCTAATTGAGGGGGAGGATGGTTCATTTCTCCCCGGCGCTGGCCCAAGGCGCGCGTCGGTGCGCTCGGGGCTTGACACGCACACAAAGACTCCAGGCAGCGTGGGCAGCGAGGCGGACAAAGACCACCGCCGCCTCGGCTGTCCAGGAGAAATCAGCGGGGCCGCGCCTGGGGCCGGGCTCCGCACAAACCCGCCAGGCCCTCCTCGGTTTTAGGGCGGGGAACGCATTTTAAAACAAAAGCCTCGACCCTTCTGGCTGCCCAGAAAAGTGTTACAACTTAATCTGCCCGAAAACGTTACTGTTTACTGGGAACTTTGACCCCGCCCTGCGGCTCCGTGTACAGTAGCTCCTACTGTAGTCCTAAGCCCCTTCCCCACCCTGGGCTAAACCCAAGCCAGGCCCGCCCAGGGACCCTGCTGTGTAGAAGGCCTGTGCCTGAGGCAGACCCTCTCTGCAACCTCCCAGCCTTATTACTCTGACGTAGGGTACACACCGGACGCATGGCCTCCACCTTCTGATCTCTTATCTTCAGGGAAGTCACTCGAGCCGACCGTGTGAGCCATGGTCTAGAAGTCGCTCAGAACTCATCTTTAACCCACATCCGGTCCTTACCAGCCTCCAGCCCCAAACACCCAGAAATCCCACTGTGCTCCCGAGCTTCCTGGACCCCAGTAGGGTCCTCACACTCTCGCCAAAAGTCTCACCAGAAGTGCGGGGATATCTTAGCCAGGACATACCCACTGGACAGAGAAACAACTCGGCGCGTTTCGCCAGAACCTAGGGCAGGTTGGCACTGACAGCCCCTTTCTGGAGCCCAACAAAGCCAAGCACCCTGAGACTCAAATTCTGAGCCCAGGCGTGGAACCAGCTACCGGGACCTGTGTGAAAGGCCCTCACAGAGCTCCGTGCTCTCGACAGGCTTGGGAGCCAGATTTGGGGTGGGGGCGCATGCCATCATGGGTTCCTCGCCCCCGGGGCGCACTCACCTGAGTTTCCGTGAGGCTGAGACTGTGTGCCAGTTGCTTCCTTTCGGCGCCTACCACGTAGTGATTCTTCTCAAAGGCGTGTTCCAGCCTTAGAAGCTGGGACGGGGAGAAGGCGGTTCGGATCCGCTTGGGCTTTCGGGCCAGCGCGTTGTGCAAAAGGAAACTCTCGGGGCTAGTGTCGTTCCCTGCGGAGGCACAGCAGAAGTCCCATTAGCCGGGCCGCTCCTACCGCAGCCACAAACTTCTCCCGAGCCGGACTGGCGCAGCACTGCGCTCAGGGCCTTCTCAGAGCCCGCGCCACTCGACCTGCGGGGGGCAATTGTACTCCCGAGGGCGCACGAAGGGGACGTCGGCCCAGCTGTCCGGCCCGGAACGCCTGGGCTCCACCTGTGCGGCACCCAACCAACAGCTGCCCCGGCGGGGCCAGTCCCCAGGCTCCTGACCTCGGCGGGCTCCCCAGCCGCTTTGGCGCCGCGGGCTTTGGCGCCGCGGGCCTTGCCACCACCTTGCCGGGCGCTGGGGATAGGGGAGGGAGCCGCAGAGCCTGGCCGGGCGATTGGCGCCCACAGCCCGAAGAAACGACTTTCTTTGCTTTCTAACCTCTCGGGGAACTTTGACCCAGGGTGGAAAGGCGGCGGGCGGCTCTCCACAGTTTTCTCGGAGATTTATTTTTAAATTATTTGTTTTGTTGCCCCTCCGGAAAAGTACAGAGGCCGGGCTAGTCACTGCGGCCAGATCCCGGCAGAAATCTCGCCGGCGGGTGTGCCGGACCACAACCCCTGCTGTCTCTTGAGAACTGGGCTCCCGGGCTCCCGCCTCCGGAGAACTAGAAGAGAAACGCGAGCAAAGGGATCGAAACCCGGGGGATTACCGAGTTGCAGACACCGCGGTGACAGTCTGAAATGCAGGAAGATCCCAGAGGCTCCGGGTCTGTTGGGGGGACCCTAGGCATGACTGACAGAAAATGAGGAAGGGTAGCCCTAAACTTTTCGAGCAAAGCCTGAGAGTATTGGGTTTACTCATTAGGATAGGAAATAGATTCGCCAAAAACCCAAACAAAGAAAACCAAGCCGACAATACAGGCGGGATGAGGCAAATCCAGCTCGGGATTAAAGGTGAAATGTTTTGCGGGGTTTTGTTTTTTTTTTCTTTCTTTGGTTTGGTTTCTAAAATATGGGGAGGGAGATGACGTCTACCTGACTCTAGGCTCCGGCAGGAACGCAATGGGTTAATGAATGGACAAGTCGTGGAATATTGATCCGCTGCCGCTGGAGGTAGGTCTTTTGCCGAATCCGATCAGTAAACTAATTACTCATCCCCTTTTCTGAAGTTTTAACTCTTCTCCTCCCACCTCGTACCCAGAAAAAGAAAACAAATCAAAAATATCGCAAGAAATGAAAACATCCGAACAGATCTTTCCCTCAGACAGTTTCCTGACCAAGTTCTTTTTTTTTTTTTTTTTTTTTTAAGAAAGAAAGAAAAACAAAAACCAGACCGAACCTGCCTTCCCGCTGCGACTGCTCGGTGCCCCAATTAAGCAGGTCGCGGCGAGATCGCCGAGCCCTGGAGCTTTCCACCCGCACAGGTTCCCGCCCCTCCCCAGGCCTCCGAAAAGCAGGAAAGAAAAAAAACAATCTCATACTTTTCTCCGGAGGCTCGAGGGTCCTCTGGCCTCTAGAAAAGGGTGAAAGACCAAGAAGTCGCGGGTCTGGGCTGAAGGGGCGCAAAGTGGGTGGTGAACAGGGTAGAACGCAGTCGAAAACAAGCCTATCGGCCGGGCCCTGTCCGCGCCCCTGGAAGCCAGGACTGTTGGGAGCATTTCCGAGGGTACCAGGAGCCTGGGGCCCCGGCGGGTTTTGTGCTCCGCGGCGCCGGGCACGCTCAGCCCAGCCTGCTCGCATCCCAGCGCATGGGGTACAACTCCGTCGCACCCCTTCCCAAAGTGTCAAGCGGCCCGCAGGCCATCACTCCAAACCGGTCGTATATTCGGTGACTGGGGATCTACACCACGCCCGGCCCCGCGCCGCCTAGTTTCCCAACCCGGCTCCGGAGGAACCTCCGCCCAGGCCTTGCCACGCGCCCACCCGGAGCAGGCCGGGGGCAGGGAAGGATGCGGCGGGAGCGGCGCGCTGCAGTCCCGCAACGTGGCACGTACCTTGGAAGCGATGACCCAGATATCGATAGCGGTGGATGAGCCAGGGGTAGAAGGTGGACGGGTCCCGCTGCTGCGAGGCGAAGAGGGGGTGTGGCGAGTGCGAGGAGGGTAGGGGGTGGGCGGCCAGGGCGTGCGGCGGCGGCACGGGGTGTACTGGCACCGCGGGGTTGGGCGGGTGCGAGACCGCCTCAGCGAACACCAAGTCCGGGTTGGAGTAGACGCCCCTACCGGCGGCGGCGGCTGCAGCCGAGTGGAAGCCGTTGAGGAACGGATTTATGGGGCTGGAGTTCGCGTAGCTGAGTGCCGCGGGACGGATGGGGTCCTCGGAGCGCGAGGCGGGCAGGGGACTGTCCTTGGCCACCAGCGACTCGATGGTGAAGCAGCGCTTGGGCGCCGGTTGGAACATGCTGCGCCGAGGAGCGGGCGCCCCGGGCTCCCAGCTCCCGGCGACCGCCGCACGCTGCCTCCGCCGCCCGCTGCCCGCGGCGAGGACGGACGAGAATTGGGGACTCGTTTGTTTGGGGTGGGGGTGGGGATGGGGATGGGGGGAGGAAAGGAAGAAAGAAAGGAAAGGAAAGGAAAGGAAAAAGGAAAGGAGGGGGGAGGGAGAGGGAGAGGCGAAGCCGAGGATCCCGAGAATCTTGCACCAAACGCGCCCAAGCTGGAGAGAGGGGGAAAATCCTTCCAGAAGAATTTGCAGGCGTGGATTGGGGTAATCTTTTTTCTTTTTTTTTTTTTTTCTTTTTTTTTTTTTTTTTTTTTTTTTTTTTTTTTGGCGAGATAGCGTGGGGGGATCGGAGTTAGAGGCAGGGAGGAGAAGGGGGGGAAAGTTCTCGGGGGAGGCAAAAAAAAAAAAAAAAAGTTTTTTTCTCCTCCGCAAAAGGCGGGCAGGGCGCCCTAAGTCCAAGGACAATCCATGGAAGTGTTCGCTTCTTCACAAGTTGTGCAAACGATTTGTTAGTTCATGAGCCTAATTAGTGCGGGGATCACATAAACAGCTTCCTCCGAAGCCTGGTAAATGGCTTGATGATTGGTCGCTATTACTCGCCCTGAGGTGGAAGGGGGGAGACTCTTTAAAGTGCGTCAGAGGGAGGCGAGCGCCTGGGAACCCGGAGGCCTGGATCCGGGCCGAGAGTGGAACGGAGTCGGCGCCGCTGTCTCGGTCGAGCCTCCCGCAGCCCGCCGGGCCGCCTGGCCTCTCCGCGTCTTCGCCCCGCGCTCCCAGCTCACTCGCTCCTGCGGCGCCCGCTGCGGCTTCTCCTCCTCCTCCTTCTTCGCCTCCTCCTCTTCCTCGGGTTTCTGCCTCTCCTCCTCCTCTTCTTCCTCCTCCTCTTTCCCCACCTCCTCCCCCTCAGCCACCGCCTCCTCCTCCACCAGCACCACTCCCTCCGGGGCACCCCGGTCCCTGCAGAGTCCCTGGCCGGCACCGCCTCTGCTGCGGCCCCCTGAATCCTGAGTCTGCTGCGCCCAAGCTGGTAGGACAGACGGACAGATTCCTCAAGTCTAGCGCTCCGCCGCTGCTGCCCGGCGCTGCCCGGCGTCGAGGGAACAGGGATCGCCCCGGGAGGACCGCGAGGGTAAGCGGGCGGGGGCTGGTTCCTAGTGAGAGCTAAAGGCGCCGTTCGGTTAAACCAACCCTCACTCTTAACAAAACTCCCAGCGGTGTCCTAGGCTAGGAGGGAGCCAGGGGTGGGGGTACGGGATCCTCCCACCCCACCAACCACGCTTAGCCTCGAGGTTCCAGGGTTGGTGCCTTCGCGACTCTAGACCCTGCTCGTTCGTTTGGGAGTTGAGACCGGGAGCTGCCTACCCTGCCGGAGCAGTGGGTTTCCAATTCGCTCCCACTCTTGCCCCACGGTCTCTAGCGTTTTCTGTCTGGGAGGGTGCTCACCTCCTTCCCCGAAACAATTCCTTCTGGAATATCTGGGACCCGCAGTCCAAGGTTAGGGGAGAGCCCGATGTGGTGCTACTGTACTATTATGGTTCCGTTGTAGTTATCTTTGTTAGTGTGGCCAATGTTATTATTATGAATGCTATTTTTTTATTATTATTTCTATTATTATTCTGCCATCTGTAGTCCCACGGTCGGGTTGCTGTGCAAACCCAGTGCAACTAGAGACTGCGGATAGCATCTCCAGTCCCAGGCCTTGTCCGCATTTTCGAGCTCGCCTTTGGTTTTGGGATGATTTTAGGGCTGAGTTCCCTCGTCCCCATTGGCTCGCGCGGCGGCATAATTATGATCACATCCCCAGGCTGCTGGCGCTGCTCTCTGTTTATTGGTGGTTAAAGATCTATTATCTATTCATCAGCCGCCTCTTTTTTCTTTCTTTTTTTTTTTTCCAATTACATTCTTCTAAAGTGAAGTACAAGCAGGTATTTTGCACGTTTGCAATTAATGATTTTAAAAAATCCTAGCGTCCTTTAAACCTGTTACTCCCAGGCCCCTGTTATTTCTCCTAAGAACGCAGAAATGCCTGTGTTTGGTGACTAGGTTGCCATGAGACCTGGGAGAGAAGTCGATGGGAAGGGGGAAAAGAGTGAAGTCCACCGTGAGCGAAGCTGCACTGCCACCAGATGCATAGTTGAGGGGCCAGGTCTCAGGACAAGCTACCTGCTTCCTCCCTTGATTTCATCGGCTCTGTATTTACATTTGTGTCAATTACTCTTTTATTTCAGATATAATGTTGTGTTGGGGAAGGTGTCCAGAAACCTTTTTTGGGAAATCAGGCGAGAGGGGTTGGGAGCAGTGTTTTCGGGAGTTGTCAAGGCACCAGACAGATTCCTGGGGAACCGGCAGAGATCATCTTCGTTGCCCCGCCCCACACCTTCCCTGGGAACACACACACATATTCTCACATGAGACAGATGTGCGCCTCAGCTTTGCTCTCACAGTGGGAGACACCTGCCTCTCCCTTAGGCTTTGAAGCTCTGGGATGGGGTCTTGGCCCAGTAGTGTCCCTCTGTCAGTTCCAGGAGGCTTTCCTTTCTCCTTTCTCCTTTCTCCTCCTCCCTTTTTTCCAGGCCCAAAGATTCTGTGCTTTGGATCCAGCCCTTGGGGTGGGGGTGCATTTAAAGATGCACCTCCCTTGGGCCTGAACCACTGTCCCCCAAAATACTGTCTACAGCTCAGAAATCCCTCCATTAGGCCCCTCCTCTCCTAGACCAGCAGGGAGCCTAAAGCCAAGGCAGAGGGTGGAGGTCTTTTGGCTGTGCCAAGCCAGCAAGCCCAGGGTAAAGCTAGAGGTCAGCCCTCGGGTTTTTGAAGTTGGAAACAAACACCCAGCTTAGGCAGACTGTGGATCCTGAATCCTGGCAAGCAGGAGAGGGCACATTTCATGAGAGATTCAGAAGGAGGACTGGAGGGCCAGAATCTGGCAGTGCCCTCAGGCCAGACCCTCCAAATACAGGCTGAGACTCTAGGGTTGCAAACTGGAGCCACTGAAAGCTCCACCCTTAGTGATCTTAGGTGGGGGCATAAAAGTCATTGACTTCGAGGGCAAGGGGAATCCAGTGTGTCTTGGAGATAGGGTGAGACCCAGGTGGTGTGTGATGTGTAAGGGTGATTGATGGGTGCTTTCCCTCTTTTAAAACTTGCAGCCCTGGGCACTAAGGTGCAGTCATTATTCCCTTAACCAGGACAGTGTTGGGCTGGAGAGGGAACCCCTCAGCCTTCTGCCCCAGGCGGGACATTTAGCTGCAGCCGAGGGGTAGCCAGCTCCACAGTCCCACTCCAGTCGGCTGGGATCCTCTGTAGGCCACCAGCTTTTTACTAACTTCCCTTCTGTGGCCAGGCTTGCCCCAGGGGTTTTAGCTAGCCTACAGGTGGGCAGGGGTAAAGGGGCATCGGGGTCTGAGGTCTGGTGTCTCCCTTCCTGAAGAGAGCAGGGCATGCTAGTCCTCTGCTTCAAGTGCTGCCAGACCCAAGCTGCATTCCAGCCCCATGAAGGAGAAGCGGGTTTCCAGTGAATCTGGAGGTTCCGAAGCCCTGGAAGCTGGGTAATCAATGCTAATTCATGCACTGGGCCTGAGGAGCCCGGGAAGGTTCTCAGGGTCTGGCCCCCTTGTGCAGGGAAATTAACTAGGATAGTAACTCATTAACCAGGCTGGCCAGTGGAGGTGTGCCAGGGCACTGGGCGCTATAATCTGGACTGGACCCTGTGCTCCTAGATGGCGCAGCTGCCCTGACACTCAACTTTACTTGTGGATTTGGGCCTTGCAGAATATGGCCCCCTTTGTTCCTTAGCTGCCCGAAGAGTGAGTGTTTGGTTAAGTAGCCCTTCGTACAGTGGGAGATGTGGGGATTTCTGAGACTCCAGCTTAGAGCAAGGGGCTTCCTTCCCCTGCCCTATGGGTGCCCCTAGCCACTGCTGCCTCTTGGGCTGTATAGACTCAGGAATCTACCTTTGCAGGCAGCTAGACTAGCACACACATTCAAAAGTTCTAATTCCGAATCTGTCACTGAATGACCTTGGGCAACATGGAAACCTCTCCCGACCTTATTTTGTCGTATGTAAAAATACAGCCAATAATGCCTGGGAGGCAGTGGGGGGGGGGGGTAGCAGTCAGCTTGTTTTGGAGGATAATAGAACTATTCTACTTCCTGATTTTGGTGTACTTTACACGACTCTATACGTTTTTCAAAACTCACAGCACTGTACGTTACAAAGAGTGAGTTTCATTGTATGTAATTATACTTTAATAAATCTGCCTTCTTAACTGCGTGACCTTGGGCAAGTTACCTAACCTCTCTATCTCTGTCTTCTCTGAAATGGGAATACTTAATAGTACTTTTGCATTGGATTTGTTCAGTGAGATAAACAAAGCAAAGTGCTTAGACGGTGTGTGGCACATTATGAACTACAATAAAAGTTCACTCCTGTCCTTGATCCTGCTGTTATTATTACCTACCCACCTCCAAGGCTTGTTACTGGGTTTCAGAGACTGTGAACAATATAGCTGTACAAACATCCACTAATGCTGGTCTCACACTCCTCTGTGCTCCCCAAAAAGCTGACAGCTTCTCTTGTGAGATGTTGGGGTGATCCAGGCCTGGAGTCCTGGCTCCTTGGTTGATATCAAAGGGCAGAGACTCCTGGGGATCTCTGATAAGCGTCTGCTTGGAGTTTCCTGCAAGGCCCCCTAGGGCTTCAAAGCAGCAAATGGCAGTGCTTCACCACGGCTGTGCTCCGTGCCAGGCCTGTCAGGTACCTGGGGTGGGTGCATGGCCTCCTGCATCTGAGAATAGGTGTGTGGGAGCTGTCTGGGGTCGCCACCAGTGTGACTTTCACTTTCTTGAGCCACGATTGACTCATCTGTGAAAAGGAAATAGCAATATGTTAGTGGTTGTTAAGAGGAGTGAGTGAGCTAACGTTTAGCCCGCTGTTCGGGTTCATCACATTTTAGTTATTGCTAGGCCTTGGCCTTGTACGGTCCAATCTACCCGCTGCACTCTGCCATGTCTTGGTCCCTGCTCGCCAAGGTTCGGGTCCTCACTTTGAGCCAGCACGCTGAGCCCGCACTGTGCTCCCGCGGCCCAATGCGGACCGCACCGACGCCCTTGAAGGGCGAGCCTCTTCCCCGCCCGAGGCGCGCTAATGGTGTCCCGAGTTGGGGAGGCCTCCGAGGCGTTAAGAATTCCTCCAACCCATTGAAATCCCCAGTCACACCGGCCTCTCCGAATGCGTAGGGCGGCGGTGAGAAAACGAAAAGTATAATTAATGCCTTTAAAACATTTTTTTTTTTTTTAATTATTACGACAAATCCCTTTTTGGCCTCTTCCCCAGAGGCCTCTCTCCAGGCGGGCGCGGCTGCCCGGGGCGCCGATCGGTGTGCGCGCAGCGGCGCCTAGTGGCGAGGGCCGCGCGCGGGCGCGGTACCAACCGAGGCCGGAACCCGAACGCCTGGGGAGCGCTGGGGTCGGGTCGCGCCGCACTGCCGAGACCGCCTTTCAGACCTGCCGAGGAGGTCTAAGTAGGCTCACTGGCTTCGGAGGAGTGCGGACAGCTTGGAAGTGCGTCCCTCCTGCCTTCATCAGCTCCAGCTCTTGTCTTGAGAGTTCATCATCCACGCTGGAATTCCAGCTCCAGTAGGAGTAGGGCTTCCTTCCGAAGGGGGCGCAGAGCGGGGCCGGGGTGGTACACGTTCTGCTCCAAGAAAGACTAGGAAACTGTGATCACCTGTGCCAGAGAGACGGCCAGCGACTGCGCAAACGCGGCCACAATTCCAAGCCTGAGGTCCCATATCTCCGACCCGGGTGGTTCAGAGAACAGGCCTGGGACGGCCTGCGCGGGCCCCGCCTGGGGTGGAGTTGGAAGAGCTGGGGTCCTGGGGTGCGAGTCTCCCAGATCCGCGCCCCCTTGCGGCCGGCTGACGACGCTGGACAGAGGGGGTCCTTGGTTTTGGCAGAAGTGGCAATTGATTACCCAACACTCCGAGCAGGGCACGTTGGGCCACCGCGACGGGCTTCTGGTGACTCGCCCATTCCTCCCGGAGCGGGCGGACCCCATCCATCCAGAGGCAGCCTGGCTCCTCCGATGATGTGTGGCCGTGGAATCCCCTTTGGCTTCGCTGGAAACCC